AGAACCTGGACCTTTTCAGCCTCCGCAAGAGAAGGTTGAGAGGCGACCTTGTGGCTGCCTATAAGTTCATCACGGGGGCACAGAAGGGAATTGGTGAGGCTCTACTCACCAAGGCGCCCCCGGGGGTTACAAGAAATAATGGCCATAAGCTAGCAGAGAGCAGATTTAGATTGGACATTAGGAAGAACTTCTTCACAGTTCGAGTGGCCAAGGTGTGGAACGGGCTCCCAAGGGAGGTGGTGCTCTCCCCTACCCTGGGGGTCTTCAAGAGGAGGTTAGATAAGCATCTAGCTGGGGTCTTCTGAACCCAGCACTCTTTTCTGCCTATGCAGGGGGTCGGACTCAATGATCTATTGAGGTCCCTTCCGACCCTAACATCTATGAATCTATGCGTCCTGACACACATATAACTGTATGCCTCCTCTCTCTCACACACACACACACACACACACAACACACCCCAGTGCCTTCTCTATCACACATCCACACATCCACACACCCCTCTTCATACTCACACACATACATGCGAGCACCCCCCATGTGCCTCCTCAAACACACACAACTATGTTCCTCCTCACACACACCCTCTTCCTCCCCTGCACACCCCCCCACTGTGCCCCCTCTCACTTAGACAAAACAGGCCAGTGCTTGTTACGCACACACACACAACACATCCTTGTGGCTCTCTATGTCTCTCTCTCACACACACACACAGACCCCCATGTGCCTCTTGACACACAGATGGACACAACCCTGTGCCTCCTAACACACACACACAAACACACCCCTCTGTGCTTCATACACACACACACATACATGCATGCATGCACCCCTTTGCCCGCTCACACTCACACACACACCTGTGTGCCTCTTCACACACACACACACACACACACACACACACACATACACACACACATCCCGTGCTTCCTCACAGACACACACAAACCCATGTGCATCCTCACACACACATGCACAACCATGTGCATCCTCACACACATACACACACACTCACCTGTGCCTCCTCACACCCACACACCCACTGTGCCTCCTTGAATACACATGCACACAACCCAGTGCCTCCTCCCTCACACACATGCACAGACAAACCCCAGTCCTGTATCTTGTGCACACATGCACGTACATGCACGCACACACACAGACACACTACTGTGCCTCTTCATACACACACATATATGCATGCAAACTCCCCCTTTGCCTGCTCGTAATCACATACACACCCCTGCTCCTCAAACTTGCGCAGACACACACACACACGCCTTTGCCTCTTCATACACACACAAATAAATGCATGCTCAGACACCCTGTGCCTTCTCATACTCACACACACAAACCCATGTTCCTCCTCTCACACAAATACACACACACAAACACACACACCCTGTGCCTCCTCACATACACACGAAAAAGCCTGATGCCTATGCACAAACACACACACGACACACCTGTTTGCCTCCTCTCTCTCTCTCTCTCTCACACACACATCTACACACACCTCTCTTCATGCACACATGCATGCATGTATACTTCCCCTGTGCCTTCTAACACTCACACCCCCCCATGTGCCTCCTCACACACACATAACTATGTGCCACCTCAAACACACACACACTTCTGTGCCTCTTCATACACACACACATACATGAATGCACACACTCCCTGTGCCTGCTCACACTCACACAGACACATCCATGTGCCGCCTCATGCACGCACACACACCGTGTGCCTCCTCTCTCTCTCTCTAAAACACACACACACACACACACACCCCTTTGAAAGGTCCAAGTTTCAAAGGTGAACTGTGAACCTTCGTGCCTGGTCCTTCATGTGCATGTCCTTCAGGAGAGGCGGGGGCGGGGGGTGGCTGGCGCAGCCGGCTGCCTGGCACAGCTTCTGCCATGGCCTCGTTCATGCCCTGCTCACTCTGCGCCATGCTTCTCTCTCCTCCAGGTTGCGGCGTTGCCTTCTCACACCCGCCTGCTGTGGGGATCTCGCCGCTGCTCTCAGCACCAGCCCCAGCCTGACGGAGCTGGACCTGCGTGGTAACCGTGATCTGAGGGCTGACGGCGTGCGGCTGCTGTGCGAGGGACTGAGACATCCCAGCTGCAAGGTGCAGACACTGCGGTAAGGAGCATGGCGCTTCCTGCGGGCACTCGCTAGGGTCTCTCTGGGAACGTTCAACACGGCGAGGTGTCTTCGTCCTGGTGTTGGGACAGGGGAATAGGGCGGCTGGCTGGAGACGCCTGGGGCTGTGCTTGTGGGTCTCTGCTGGGTGTGGGGAGCATACAGTTAGTAGTGAAATACAGACCACAGTTAAAGAAATCCAGGATGGGGTGCACTATGCACGCACATGCACACACACACCCCCATGCCTCTTCACACACACACACACACATGAATGCTACCTCTGTGCCACTTTATACCTACACACATACTTGCATGCAAACACCCCTGTGCCTGCTCACCTGCTCACATTCACACACACACACCTGTATGTCTCCTCACACATACACAACCATGGGCATTCTGACACACACACACAAGCACACACACTTATCCATGTTTCCTCATATACCCACATGCACAGGCAAACACACACCCACACCCCCCCGTGCCTCCTTGAATACACGTGCACACAGCCCAAGTGTGTGAGTGCCTCCCGTGTCACATGCACAGACACACCCCAGTGATGAGTTTTGTGCTCACACGCACACACAGAGACACACATCTGTGCCTTTTCAAGCACACACACATACATGCACACACACACCCTGTCCCTGCTCATTAAGGGCCCCTTGGGACTCGGAGCGGGGGGGCAGCAAAGGCACCTGTCGCAGGGCTCAAGTGCCTATATACTAATGCTAGGAGCATGGGGAACAAGGAGGATGAACTAGCGCTCCTGCTTGCACTAAACACCTATGACTTAGTGGGGCTAACGGAAACCTGGTGGGATTCATCCCACGACTGGGCGGTACATATTGAGGGCTATAGATTGTACAGAAAGGACAGGGTGGGGAAGAAAGGGGGAGGGGTTGCGCTCTATGTCAGTGAGCGATATACATCGACCCTCATCAAGACGGAATCCAAGGATGAGGAGGTAGAAGGATTGTGGGTTAGGCTACATGGGGGGCAAGGAGAAAGGGATTTGGTGGTAAGGGTCTGCTACAGACCCCCACATCAAGGGGAAGAAAGAGATTCGGGGCTCCTGAGGCAACTCTCGGAGACCATAAAAGCTAAAGAGGCGGTAGTCATGGGGGACCTAAACTACCCGGACATCTGCTGGGAGACACAGACAGCAAAGTCCCACCGCTCACGCAGGTTTCTAACCTGTGTACAGGACCTCCACCTGACACAGGAGGTACATGGTCCCACTAGGGGGAATGCCATACTGGATCTGGTATTGGCAACGGGGGATGACATGGTAGGGGACCTACAGATCGGTAGCCATCTGGGGGTCAGTGATCACCTAATAACAGAATTCACCATAAGACGTCGAGTGGGTAAGGTAACTAGTAGGGTGAAAGTGCTAGACTTTAGGAAAGCTGATTTCAATGAACTCAGGCGATTAGTCAAGGACGCACTGCAGAGTAGGAGTTTTGAAGTGATGGGAGCCCAAGAAGGGTGGCTGTGCCTTAAGGAAACGATTCTTCGGGCACAAAGCAAGACGATCCCCGAGGAAAGGCAAAAGGGGGAAAGGGGCCAGGAGGCTTCCCTGGCTGACCACAGAAATCCAGGGCAGCCTAAGGGCCAAAAGGGGAGCACACAAAAAGTGGAAACA